ATTTTATATCATTTAGCGTTTTACAGACTGTTGTTAGTCTAAATCTTTTTAACTGGTCACCCTAAAAACATACCGGTCATGGCGGCAACTCGGGCACGAACTCGTTGCTATGGCTAAATCGGCTTGTATTCAGCCTTTTCTTTTTTTTATGCGTAAACTTGAAGAATAGTTTGCCGTTTAACAATTTTAACCACCTTCGGCATTTTTAAAACTAACATTAAATAATTAAGAAGCAAAAGAGCACTCAGATAGCAACCGATCACGTTCAAAACAAGTTGACGGCAAAGGAAACAGTGCTACCAATCACTCACGCGTCAAGTTAAGATGAACAGACAATATCACTCCTTATTAAAAAAAGTTTATGATTAGAACCAATCTATTCAAATGACAGGAGTTTTGGTGGGAACTTGACCGTCGTCGAATTGTTGCTTCCGTTTTATCGCCTAAATAATGATATAAAAATGATAAGCATTTGTGTAATAAGTGTGATGCGCAGCATGTGAAATATTAGAAAAAACGACGAAACATGTGCTTCGATGTTGATATAAACCTCAGTTATTTTGATCGCTTAGGCGCCTTATGAACTTGAGTGACTGTAAAAGCAAATCATTTATTTCAATAAAACATGGGTACAGACGGATGGATACAGAGTCAATATTTGTTTTCACATATTTTGCCTTTCGTGATATGCGTAATGATTATATTTATGTTTATTACACTGTAATGATTATATTTATGTTTTTAGAAGAACATAACAAAAATAAGAAAAAATAATTTTTGTTCACTTGAGAAGAATCACACAAAACCCTGGATCTATATTAACTTACTTAGTTAAGCAAAATCATTAAAAAATGAAAAACAAACTCAAAATTTATGGTTAAAGAATTTATTGATATTATAAAAGGCAGTATTTATTAGCCACTGCTTTAAACTTTTTTTCATTCGCCTTAATGAATGTTCACGAATATTTTTAGGAACTATATATAAAAAAATATATATATATATATATATATATATATATATATATATACGTATATTATCATTACGTGGTAGAGCCATGCTGCAGTTATATTAGTGTAGTTGTAGCACGAATGTGTCGGCTCTACCTGGGAAGGACCACGCCCTCACAGAATATCAGTGTCAAATAGTAGCTTAATGCTGCTGTATTTCGTATGGTGAGTGTAGGGAACCGAAGAGCCTTTTTACTGGAAATGAGGCATTCCACCTAAGTCCTCATGGGTGAGAACGCATCTGCATTTTGATTCGTAATCGAGGATAGATTTGGATGTCTATGGGCCACAGCAACCATTTACCATCAAGTGGACTATGTGCTCGTTTGTCACCCTATCCTATAAAAAAAATAGATATTTTTAATTTATCTGGAAATCTTCCATGTATTAAAGAAAGGTTTATAAAATATGTTAGAATTGGTGCAATTTCAATACTAAATCGCACATGATTTAAGTATGTGTGTAGTAATAGAATCATAACCAACAGATTTAGTATTATTAAGAGAGTTTGTTATAAGTATGATTTCATTTAATGAACAAGGTTTTAAAAAGATCGATGATTGAACATTTTGATACAAGTAAATATTCCTTTTATTTTTATTTTTTAAAGAAGAACAGTCATGAAGAGCTGTATTAATAAAATACTCATTAAATTTACTGGCAATGACTAAGGGATAATCTATTTTAGTTCCATTACAATTACTCCAGTCAATATTATTATTTCGTGTATCATTATATGCATAGTTTTTAATAATCGTCGTCATCGACAGTCTGATTGGTTCTTTGACTAGAGAAGTAAGAAAGGACATGACATAAAGATCATTACTTGTAGGAATGTAACGAAATATCGGCGTCTCTTTTTAGCTTACGAGTATATTAGTATGTAAAAAAGTACAACAGTAGTTTTATCATTACCGAATATGACAACAATTTTTTCACTGTGGCCGGGCGCCATGTTTTGTCACAGTCAATGACAACTATATAAGTTATCATTGCGACTTTGATGAAGTGAGTGTGTTATTTTCATATGTTTCTCTCGTGAAATTCGATTATTACGAAATTTCTTATTCTATTCCTCGGGACCTCTAAATCGGGATAAAAAGTAGGTATCCTATATGTTAATTCATATAATAAACTATTTGTGTGCCAAATTATTACATTCAAACTGGTCTGATACTTTTGGCGTGATTGAGGAACAAACACTCAAATTTTTGCATTTATTATAGTTTGATTAGTGTGAGTATGACGACTGAGCCTAATTTAATGTCTAACAAACAAACAAAAATTCTTTAATTAGTATTTCTTGTTTAGTAATGCCCGGAAAATAATTGTAACATTAATAATAGATAGTTACATTATAAAAACAAAAAAAAATCGACTGCTTAAAAGTAATGAACTGAAAGCATAGGCATATAAGCAATAGGTATAACTTATATATTTCAGTTATCTTCTTTTAATTTTCTTTATTTTGATACCCTAGTCGATAGGTTAAGTTGAATAATAAAAATTAAGGACTTACAATTTGGCGCCAAAAATCCGTCATATTGATTTAAAAAAAACCTATCTAAGAACACACGGGTGTTTCAGACGAATCACACGAAAGAATCTTAATTATTTTTCTAAATAAGCGCCACATTACCGATATTAAGTATAGTGCGCAGCACTACGTCAAGCCGCCATCTTTGTGCCAGACTCAGTTTAGGTATACACGTTTTTTTCGTAGGTATGTCATGTCCTTTCTTTCTTCTCTAGTCAAAGAATTGGTTGAACTGTCATCAGAATCTCACAAAAACTTCACAGTGTGATGCTTCAGCATATTGTGAAGCTAAGAGTAATTACATAAATATAATTACTGAAGAAAAAATCTATAAAAACGAAGATCCCGAATGAAATGAAGACATGGCTTAAAGAACAAGCATCCAAGCCAAAAATCTTAATAAAAAAATATTCTAATGACGGTTCCCTTGTGATATGCTAAAAAGCAAAACGAAACAAATAGCATTCTCTGTCTACGAAAACAAAGTATGAATTATTAACTCACTCTTAAGTCCTTTTTAATACCATTAGATAAAACGGAAGGAAACGTAGTTACACACTTTTTATTTCAATATTACTTCTATACTTCTATGCGTCTATGAGTTTTCTTTGAAAGACGATTACGTATTAATGTTGCTATATTCAAAAAAATTACCCTAAAATTAAAAAAAAATATAACTTTTTGCCAAAGTAATTAACTCTTACATTTATAAACAAATTGCTTTTTGTTTAAAGTTCAGTTTAGTTGAAAGAATTATGAAAAATTTAAGGTAAACTCAAACGTATAACATAATCTGATTAAACAACATTTTATGTAATAAGTTGCTTCTTATTCGGACTATTTTTACTTACAATTTAATTATATTTTTCTTCTCACTTTTGAGAATGCTTTTATTCTGTAAAATATATAATTCCATACATGAAAAGCGTATTACATCATTATCAATTATTACAAAGTGAATATAGATATGTTAAGTATATACCCATTTCTCGGTAGTATCTTCTTAAAGACAAGTACTTTGTAATTGCCTGTAAATGCAAGTATATTTTTAACAAAATCTCAACAGTATGAATGTTGACTGATTGATTTACTGCAGTCTTTTCGAAAGACTTATCTTCAGCATAATTACCACCACATTTGATCGCTAGCAACATGTTATATCTATTAATACTAATCAGAGGACTCGCCCATGGACTAGGACACATGCCTCCCTTCCCGCTTCCTCGTGCCGTCATCCACGCCCATCTTGTAATATAAACATTTACAGCATTTTTGCTACGTTGCGTGACTCGTCCTGTTTTAAAGATCTTGTTTATTTTTTTCTGTTTATCTATTTATTAATATTATGAAATTTTTATTTTGTAAAATTTGTGAACTGTTTTGGTTCAATTTGGACTATTTGTTGCTAATTGTTAACTGAAAAAAGGATACAGAGTGGTGTAAGGAACTGCATTTTAAATGATGATACTTGGAAACTTGGATACTTGTAAGGATTTGTGATTCATGCAGACAAAGCAATAAAAGCTCTTTTTTAAAAAGAAAAAGAAAAAAAGGTTTTATTGCTTAGTTTTCGTGAATCACAGTAGCTAAGTGTAGTGGCTAAAGGAAATCTTATGTAAATAAAAAAAAACAGAGGGAAAATCCGACATTAACTATTTCAAAAATAAAAATACATTTTATGTTCAAAAATTTGTTAAAATATTAGTCCATTTCGTTGAATCACTTCGTACAGTCATAACACTATGTTATTAATCATTTTGTGAAACCATGGTTTATAAATTATGCTCTTGTAGGGAAGGAAATTGTTTTTAGATACAATACAAATGTTTTTTTTATTTTACATAATTTTTTTTGTTCTAAATTTATTTTTTATATATTTTTGGTTTTATTTCGGTAAATTAAAGTGTTTGTCCCTAACAATACGTTAAAATAATCATTTAGTTCTTAAACTCTTTTTTTAATAAATTATTAATTTTTGTTACATTATTATTTTACATAGAAACAATAAAAGATAATATTATGGTACATATTACTTATGATTTTACCACAATACTATGAAGTTTTAGGGTAAAACTATTTTAAATAGCAACACTTGTAACAGGTTTATATTCGGCTTCCATTGCCAGCTTTGTGCGAACCGTTGGTCGGTGGTGACGTGTGTGACTGTTGCCGTTTGTTCGCGCGAAAGTTTACTTTGTGTTACTCAAAATGACACTAAATAGATATCTAAAGTGTAGTTAATGTGATTTAACCTACATATTACTTGTCTTTGCATTTAGTTTAAGTAATTTTGGTCAAAGTGCAATCACATTTTATAATTTTGTCGCGTGTGTAACGGTTAAGTTGAAGATAACTAGTTTTAAAGTAAATAAAAACAAAAAATGTGTTAGAAGATGGGCGCTTAGGATTTGTTCTTTGGCAAAAAGTGACTAGAAAGTTTCTGCAGCATCAACATGGGGCCCAAACGGTTGCTTTCACCAGTTACTTTGCTGCTGTTTTGTACAGGTAAGCGGGCTAAGTTACCTACATATTGAGTCACCTCACGCTCACGAGCCATTCCAGTGCCGTAGCCACTACTCAACTCGTTCTTTGGACAGTATTGTTTGCTAATGTTGAAGTAAATACCTTTGTGTGCTTTTGGTAAATTATTATCTTTTAAAAACTAGATTACGGCAGATTAAATTATTGTTAAAAAGTTTTCTTATAAATCTGCTTACATTGAAATGCATTTACAATTTGGAAATAAAAACAGAATGTTCGTCTTGATTGAGATTTAGAACCAGCATAATTACATGCTTTCCATCTCAGTCTTAGATGTGACAACTGACAACTCATTTGTAGCCAACCTCTTTTGTTCCTGCAGTTGTTTCTTGGTTGTTTTTCAATTTCGTTTTCAGCTTTCACTACAATCGAAGAATATCAGATCTGTTCTCATCAACATGTATGCCTGGTATGGAGCATGGGCAATCAAACAAGAAATAAAAAAGCGACGAATATACTCAGGTCTATAAGTAACTCGTCTGTGTCGTCGCTCTGATCTCGAAATTTTATTTGCCAAAGTAAACATGTTATGTATCTTATTTTTGTGATTTAATTGTTGTAGAATAGGTACGGGTTACGAATAAGCACACAGTCTAGATGTTAAGTAGATGCTGTGACCCAAAGACACCTATATATCCTCCAATCAACAGTCCAAATGTGTATGCGTTATCAGTTATCACTAGTGATGCAACGACATCGAATATTCGTATTCGCCGAATAGTAGACATTTACCGAATATTCGTATTCAGCGAATACTAACCATGAATATTTAAAAACTAATATTTATGTATGCAACTCTAATTACTGTAAAAAAACTGTCGTAAAATATACGACTTGTGCATAGGCCCTTTGCCGTAACGAAGCTACACAAGGGCAGGTGAGTTATTTACTCATTTAAACACTCCAACAACTGAAAGATTCTAAACAAGCTGACAATATACCGAAACATGTTTCGTTTCAAGATGTTGAAAATAGGTAGGACTCAACATATCAGATGTTGAGAGATTACATGAACAACGCATAACGATTCAAGATGTTTTACCATCTCTACCAAATTGTCGTCATGAAATCACAGCAGGGTGTGGACTCTTATGAACCAAATTATTGATCTCAAGCAATCCCAAAAAAGTCCTAAATCTTGCCTCTGATCCATTGGCCTTTTATTTGGCGAGAATATGTCCATTTTCCAAGGCTGAAAAAACTCGTCCAAAAGTATTTTTCAATGAAGCGATGTAAGGCCGCCTCGGAAAGGCTTTTTTCAACGGCTGGGAACATCCAGAATGAAAAAACAAATCGCCCGCGGCTCTACCACGTAAAATATGACTGTACCTCAAATACGGTTTTGAACCTCAAAAATAAGTTTATTTATTTTATATATAGGAGTGACAAACGAGCGTACAGTCCACCTGATAGTAAGTGGTTGCTGTGGCCCACAGACATTTACATCTATCCTCGATTACGAATCAAAATGCAGATGCGATGTCACCCGTCAGGACTATGATGGAATGCCTCTTTTCCAGTAAAAAGGGTATCCGGATCTCTACACTCACCATACGAAACACAGCAGCATTGAGCTACTATTTTACGCAGCTATTCTGTAAGAGCGTGGTCCTTGCCCGGACGAGCCGACCCATTCGTGCTACAACTATCTACTAATATAACTGCAGCATGGCTCTAGCATGTAAAGAAGATGAAGTTGAAAGGTATGTGGAAGGTGTAGGGGTGTAGAAATCAATCTAGATCTGCAAGACTGTAGACTATTTTGACGACATAGTGTGCAATAAAGAACGATTACGATTTTGATGTAGGAGCTTAGCTTTTGAACCGATAGTAGATATTGGCGGCAACGAGTTTAAAACTGCCATATACTAAATAAAAAGCTGACTCCTAATGAAGTGCAAACAAACATTATCTTGTAGGTATATAATATAATGTGTGTACTAGGGGTTCCCGAAGTGTGCGCCGCGGCGCCCTGGTAAAGACGGCGTAAAGAGTAAAGATGGGCACCGCGAGACGCTCCTGTTACTACCTGAACTATGCTCCAGAAACTAAACTTATCTATTCACGGGTACAAAATAAACCGAATTTTCAGTTGTACCTGTAATAAAAAGCAAATATCGTTCAAAGATCACGTGGAGTAAGAAATTAGAGTAGCGGTTTCATGTCTTATTTCACGCTTTGAACAAATGTGTGGAGATCACCAAGCTCCTACGTTACAATTTCTGAGTTGCCATTGTATTTTATTTCCTATTTTTCTTAAATAAAAGTGTGTTCTTATGTGTCAATAAAAATATAATAATTCGTCCTCATATTGTGGGTGTTCCTATATACCCAGTATCATTGTACCCTATTTCGACTAGCTACGGAACCAAAACAAAATACTAAACCTGTAAGTGCCCTGCAGACTAAAAAAGTTTGGGAGCCCTTGGTGTGTGCTACTGCAAAAGTACGCGTAAACATAGAGGCACTCGCTATAACTTACCTGTGCCTGATGTAACGCTTCCGCGTTGAGGTCGTAGGCAAACTAAACCATAGGTTACACCTTCAGGTTGGTGTCAGTTTCAGTCCATGATATTAATCACGAAAAGACTGACTATTCGTGATTACAGGAGAAACTCAAGGCATAACACGGTTGTTCAATACTGAAGTGACTGTGTTATGACTTTATGCATCAGTCTAAGCGATAAGATGAACTATAATATTATAAACTATAGTACCCGGATGACCGAGCTTTGCTCGGTTTTTTAAAGTTACATTTAGATACAAATTACATGAATAATATTTTTTGATCTTATAGACATAATGAAAAAACTGAACTGGTTATTTGAATGAAAATCATGAGTGCAATTAGTTTAATCAAAATTTTTCTTATTTATAAAAAGTACTAAAAAAAAAGGGCTCGAAATAATAGATTTTATCACAAAAGAATGGAATTTGAAAAAAAAAGGAAAAAAAGCCGGACCCAAGACGGGACGCGAACCACGGAACTCCGATATCACGCCCGACCGACATCCCACCTGAGCTATTACGATCGTTAGTAGTCTGTCAAAATTTACCTTCTTATATTGTATCCGTTTTTTATTGCCTGAAAACACGGATAAAAGGACATTTCCTAAAAATAAATCCTAGCTAGATCGATTTATTGCCCCCGAAACTCCCTGGACATTAAATTTTATGAAAATCGTTGGAGCCGTTTCCGAGATTCCGATTATATATATACAAGAATTGCTCGTTTAAGATGCAGTATCAGTCACTTTTGTATAGTGAATGATAAAAGCGAAGACTTATTGGTAACGATGCATTCTTAGTCCTCAGGGGTGCCACACATCTGCAATTTGATTTTTAAACAAGGAATGTAGGTGTCTACGTCCCCATAGCTTTCACCTACCGTTAAGTAGACTACGTTTTCAACCGTACTGCTATTAGAAACGAAAACCAAACATTTGTGTTTTTGCACAAATGTTAATTTCGACTGGGGTTCGAATTTCGGCGTAGTTACTAGACACTAATTACACGGTTAGAATGAATACATTATGCATTCAATTTACTAAATCTATTGGGTATTGGCGACTTAAGAAATTTTTTTATCCCATTAATTCTTCAATAAAAGAAAGTGCCTGCTAAATGTCGAAATGTCAGAAAGATTGGATAATATCTCTTAAACTCTAAAATGACTAATTGGTGAAAGCGTTATTTGAACGAAAAGTCAAAATGAAATTCATTTAATTTATTACAAAAATTCAATGCCATTAACAGTATTAATATTCCCGAATCAAATCTTTCTCGAGGTTTAATCATTTAGCTTTAGGAATAAACAAACTTAATTGATAAAAATCTGATTTTACTATTTCCTTGCGGATTACGAAACTGTCCAACCACTACGGTTCTCCTTGAACTCTCTCACGTTGTATTACGTTGTAATGTACATGGCTGCTTGTCATGGTTTAGTTGGTGTCAAGTAAATGACAACACACACATTTTGATGCTTGTACTATATGGTTTATAACTTTTTATTAGAATTTAAATATAAACTATTTAATGCTTATTATTTCAAATTAGTATAACTAATCTTTAATTAAAGTATAATCACTTTCACCAGGATGAGCGTCGCTCAAATAAAATTGGATCATGATTCATGACATAATACAATATTTTACCAGAAGATAGTGACATTAAGGGAGTATGCTGATCAACAAATTAAATTTTTCTTAATACGTATTATTTTCATTCACTTACGTGCTTTTTAATAAGTTTTGTTAGATTGTTGTGATCATTTTTAAGAAAGTTATTTATTTTCGTAACATTTACTACTCTTAGTAGTATGGTGTAGGTATTAGTCACAAATATTACTCACCAAATTATACGTTATTAAATGAGTTCTACGATATAGTACTTTAATTATTCATAACATAGTAATAATATGAATATCTTATAATTTTATTGATTTCATTAAACCATAATGAAATCAAATTAATTAATAAAAATGTAATTATTTATTTATTCAACTTTATTATAACGTTAAATTAAAACAGCCTACATACATATACGGATGCGTTAAAAATCTGGGAATAAGCCTCTCAATTCTAAAAGGGTGTTTTTAAGCGGAGGCGACTCCATCGCGTTGTTTTTCATACAGCTTCGATACATTTTTATCTCCTCGAACCCGGAGCATATGGTATTACCATTAACTATAATATATAACAGTACTTGAAATCGTGATTAACACTTTCAAGTGTCGTGGGCGGAGATCAAACTGTAAAACATGTATAATTTTGCTTCTTTTCTCGTTAAGTTTACCTATGTTCCTTAGATATATTATGTCCTTGATTTACGTGGGCTATTATTTTTAGATTTATTATAATCTATTTTTAGAAGATTGATTTGGAAGAAACATTATCGACGGTTTATTTAAATTGGTAAAGATTGCGGCCGTGCATGGAGTATTGCTGCCATATTATATGGGC